CGTCGTCGCTTGCGAATTTGCATGATGTGTTTCATGTGTTTTAGTTGAGGAAATACGTTTCAGATTCCTCGCACGTGATTCAGATGGATGACGTACAGGTGATGGATAACCTGACTGTTGAAGCATTACCTGTGCGGATTGATGGACGAGAAATAAAGCAGTTGCAGGGTAAAGTCATAGCTTTAGTGAAGGTGTTATGGGATGGACCAACTGGTGAGAGTTGGACTTGAGAACGTGAAGATTAGATGAGGGAGTCGTATCCGACTTTGTTTTCTTCAGGTCATTTTTTAGGATAAAAATTCTTTAAGTGAGGGAGTGTTATAACGCCCCAAAATAATTAGAGTATTTATTTAATTAATTTATTATAAATATTCGTAATTTCAGTGAATTTGGTGAAATGTTTTGAAGTCTGATAATTTGTTTTGGGAGATATTGTTGATGTTAAGAGGGTGTTGAGGATAATTAAAAATGCATGATTAATTAATTATTTTGATGACAATAATAGTGGAATAATGTGAATAATCTTATTTAAATTATTATTATTATTTTAAATAATAGGAAGGTAATAGGGAAGTGTGAATAATAGGAAGATGATAAAGTTTGGTGAAACAAGTGAGGTTATAGTTAGGAAATCATATTAAGGGTCCAAGGGGGAGTGGCATAAAGGAAAATAGGGAAGTGAGGAATTCATTCTGAACAATCGTGTTTTGGAGAGCGACTATGAGGAAAAGTAGAAGAAGAGGGTAGGGCTCAGAGAAATTCTGGAAGACCTCAAGAAGAGGATTGGAAATCAAATTTTTTAAGGTATGTGGAGTATCTATTGTCTTTATAATTGATATAAGGTTATAGATGTATAGGTAGTTGGGGTTTTAGGGGAATTTAGAATTATGATGAAGATACGATGGAATTGTTGACTTAGGAACGTGATGTGGTTGTCTTATTATTTTACTTGTGATTTAAGTGTATTTTCAGACTGTATAGTGTTGGAAACATGAGGAGGATTGGGTCTGAACTGGTGCAGAATTTCAACTGAGAAGTTGTAGGTTCGCAACTTTTTGTCAGGCGAGTTCCCCATGTCACCGAGCAAAGTATTTTCTCCTCAGTCTCGTCAGGCGAAAGTGGGAGCGAGAAGAGGGTGAAAAATTGGTGCTCCTGGTTTTTGTATGAAGGAGGGGATTCGCCAGGCGAAACCCAGATGAGTAGGAGCAATAGTTTTATTTTTTAAAATTTTTTCCATCTCTTTTCTTTTCTGTTGTTTTGTTATGTTGTCTTGTGCCTTGTTGTTCATATGCCTTAAGTGGTTGACGTGTTTTATTTTGATGAGTATAACATGTTGATGTGTGATGAAATATGAGGACTTGTGATGTATAATGATGATATAATGCCATGATTTTTTGATGGATTTTTATGAATGATGATGCAACCTTGATGATCTTGTGACGATGATGATTATGACATTTTGAGTCATGCATTCATAGCATAGCAGGACTTTGGTCCAGTGTTGGCTTCAATCTCATCGTGTGGATTAGGGTGTTTATGTTGTGCTCCGGTTCTTGTGTAGAATCGATCCTACTGGTGGGGATCTTTGGAGGGTGATGGTTGTATGTCCATCAAACATGTTGATTTGATACCACATGCATGAGTCTATGTTGTTTCATTTCATGTTATGTGGAATTACATCTATGTGAATGATTTTTATTATTGATGAAGTGATTTTCAGATAACGCGTGATGATGCTGTGACTTAGTGATGTTTTGGCGATGAGTTGTTGATTTGATAACTTTATGAACGAATATGTATATATGATACTATGATACACAGGTGTGAGTATAATAGGTGGCAAATGATAATGCTTGGATTTCATGAAGATGTTGTTTTGTATGATGAGTGTTATCTCGAATATATCTTATCTTTATATCTTGTATAATGATTTTTGATTAATCACCCTGCCTGTTTGAATGTTGCCTCCATGTGGGTAACGTGTAGGTGATCAGGATTAGCTCTTTTGGTGCATGAAGAATTAGCCTTGAAGTATTTTAGTCATTTCTGTTGATTAGAGGGTCTTGCTCTGATATGTAACGTTGGGTCGGGACGTTTGAGTTGAACCACTGTGTCCTTTTTGTTGTAGGCCTCATAATGCTATGAATTTCTCGTTTTAAGACTTTTGAATTATAATTGATGTTGAAAAGTGATTTTCCGCTGTGTAGTATTTGATTTAACTTATGTTGACAAAACCCGTGTTATGGAGTAAGATGTTAATTTGATTTTATAACGAAATGTGGCATCCTTGTGGTGATATACTTTGATATAAATGTTTTATTTATTGTGAATGTTCTTTTGGGATAGAAGGGTGTTATATATAAAGTGGTAGCCAATATTCTTGCTTCAAGACTGAGGAAGGTTATTAGCAAGTTGATATCGAATACTCGGATTGCTTTTGTGCTTAGCAGAAAAATATTAGATGGAATTTTGGTAGGTAAGAAATCATGGATTATGCCAAGAGAGAAAAAAAAGAATTGTATGTTGTTCAAAGTGGATTTTGAACAAGTCTCTGATTGTGTTGGTTGAGATTATCTTCGGGCCATGATGAGGGAGCTTAGTTTTGGAGTCAAATGGATGCTTTGGATGAAGGCTGGGTTTTTTATATTTCTATGTCTATATTGATAAATGGAAGTCCTACTAAGGACTTTGAGGTAGGTAGAGGCCTTAAACAAGGCGATCCATTATCACCTCTCTTGTTTGCAATAGTTGTGGTTGGCTTAACTGGTTTGGAAAATCAAGTTGTAATCTATGGACTATTTAAAGAGTTCCAAGTAAATGAAAGTGTGGCTTACAACCTAATATAATTTGCTGATGACTATATTCTTGTGGGTGAAGCTTCATGGTTCAACGTACAGGCTATAAAATCCATATTGAGAGGTTTTGAGATGATTTATGGGCTGAGAATAAACATGTGGAAGAGTGAAATCTATGGTATAGGTGTTAGGGGGTATTTCCTTCAAGTTTCATCTTACTTTTTGAGCTGTAAAATTGATTGTATCCCCTTTAAATTCTTGGGGATTTTGATAAGTATGAACCACAGGAGAATTGAAAGCTAGAGGCCAATGCTAGAAACTTTGAGAGCTAGACTTGCAGATTGGAATGGGAGAATATTGTCTCTAGCTGGAAGAATTACTTTCGTCAACTTAGTAGAGTTATATTATTATATAAATTATTCTAGCAAGATTAAATTAGATTAAGGAATCAAGACAGATTTCTAGGTTTTAAAAGAATAACGATTTATTAATAAATAAGTACATAGTTGGTTATTATTATTAAATAAAAAATCAATTAAGTTTGAAATAGGTTTTTTTAATTAATATTATTAAATGAATACAAATTAATAAATTATAAAACAAGTTTTATTATGAAAAAAAGAAATTATAAATTTATAAGAGTTATTAAGTGAGATTCTAAGATTGAGAATTACTTAAATTTTCTAAATAGAAATAATTTTAAATAGATAATGAATATTAATTAAATGAAATGAGTTGTTTAGGATATGAACAAATTATTTAAATTATGAATTAATTTTAATAAGAGGTTATTAATGTTGGTGGAATAAAATAAATATAAATAAAAAGCGATTTATTAAAAGTAAAATGATAAAATAGAAAAGAGGAAAGTTATTTAAGTAATTGCTAATTAGTTAGAAAAATAATTAATTAAAAGTTATTTGTCTTAATAAAATAAAAGGACTGATTAATTGTTAATTAATTAAATTATATTAAGTAAAGGTTAGTTAAATTAAAAGTTATATTAACAGTTAATTAATTAAAAAAGTATTTAAGTTATAATTAGGTTAATTAATTAAATTATTTTCAAATAATTATTAATTAAAAATGGAAGATTAATGGTAAAGGGGATTAGTTAAAGGATTAATTAAGAGTTAAGCTGGGATAATTAGGATTAATTAGGCGTTAATGAGGGATAGTGGAAAGTTAAGCGCTGATTAGTGAGTTAATGGAGGATTAATGGACTGGGCGTATGGTTCAGTGTGGTAGGCCTACGAAGGTTTACCGTGAGGGTTAAATGTGGATCGTGAGATGAGATCAAATGGTGGGTGAATGGCAGTGAGTGGTGGTGCACGGTGGGTGATAGTGGGTGCAACATACACGATACAATAAAATGTAAAACAGAAATGAAAAACAAATTAATCCCTAATTCCCAAAATCCCTCCGTCTTCTCCCTTTTCCCGATCTCCGATCGCGATTCTCTCCTCTCCTCCGCTTCCGTCTCTTTCTCCGTTTTTCGCTTCTCATTTACTTCTTCTTTTTCCTCCGATCTCATCCCTCTGTTCTTCTATAACTCAAAACCTGTGAACACCAAAACAAAACAAAACAAATCAACGAAACAAACGGTTGATGGATTAGAGTTACCCAAAAGTGAGGATCAACGGTGGTTTGCGGCGGTTTCCGGCGATGTTTTCTGGAGACGTTGGTGTGCGTGGCGGTGCTGCGAAATCTGAGTTTTGTTTGTGCGGTTCAGATTCGCGTTTGCATGGCCGGTTGAGGGTGATTCTCGACAGCGATGAAAGATAAGCCCTCTCTTCATAAAATCATTTAGGGTTTTTCATGATTTGGGATTTTTTGTGAGTGCTGAATGGATTGGTGTGGTTTTTTGATATCTGTGAATTTCTGGCCGCCCTTTCGTTTGATTTCATGCATCCCTTTTATAGGCACAAAGTGGTGGCTACGAATTGATGGATTACTGATGAGATTTCCATATCCGTTGTGGACATGACTTGATTGTTTTGGAAACTAATTGAATTTGTTTTGATTTTGCAGTAACAACACGAGTGGTATTTTTGGCTTATTTGGACCGTGTCGGCAAACTTTCCTTTTTCTGTGAATTGGGCCTCATTTGGAAGATAAGTTCTCTTTCAGTTTTCCCTTTACGAATTGGATACTGGTTTTAACTAAAATGATTCTTGTTTTCCATGAACCTCGCTTGTCTGAAGCATGTTGCTGATACGCAGGTAACAAGGAATACATATCCTCTCGATTATCATGTATGCCGGATTTCTCACATATGTTGAGTTCTGAATTCTCGCTGAACCTGTGACAGGAGTACACTAGAGGGAATAACAAGAACCTCCGTCCATGACAACAAAAGCTGGAGCTTCTTGAGAATGGTGAGGTGCTTGCTGGTACCATGTGAACCGATGGGTCTGTTTGGAAGTATGCGGTTTCTCGATGGTTGACTTGTTTTTTTGGTTTGAATGTAGGCTATTGTCTTTCTAGCGGAAGCTGAGAGGTGTACGAGGACAACTTTGCAGGTTCATGTTGTAATGCAGGTGAAGATATGTTTGAGCAGCAAAGGAGACGGTCTTATACCGGATGGTCGATGCTGTGGTTTATTCAAAACGTCTGTAGCCTGCTTTATCACGATTATTGTCACAACTAACAGGGATTGCTTCCTAATCTTGATGCACCCAATTAACACTTTTGTTTTTTCTTGGAATTGACTCCCTTTAACCCGTGCAGGACTTAGGATTGTCTATGAGCAAATTGGCCTTCCTTGCATTGTCTCTTGTCACAAGGAATCCCAACCGTGGTGATTGAACTGATTTTGAATTACGAAACACTGTAATGCCGGCAATGCTCCACACCCGGTTCCGCAGCGATTCTGGACTGTAGACAGAGGTTAGTTTGGAACATTATGTAATCACGCATTTGTATACCTAATGATTTGCGTTGGTTTATTTGAATCGCTCCTTTGTCGTAGAGATTGTATCATTGCATTATTAACTTTATCAAGTTCTGTTGGAAGGTTTGGAATGTGAGCTTGGAAAGAAGAGCATGAAGATTTATCGTAGGCTTTAGTTCATGGTTGGATTTTATCCCTTGGCAAATAGCAACATAGCTTGATTCACAGGCATTGCACATTGGAGATTCCTCATGAGCATACTTGTATATTATGGCATACTTGAACGAAACAGCGTTTTGATCTTCAAATGTTTGTTGCAGGATTCACATGTGATAATGATTTGGGTAGAACCCTCGGTTGGTGATGGCATGTAAATGGAAGTTAACTTGGAGATGGAATCTGATCAGAGCAACCTCCATACGGACTGCTTGCATTGTTCATTGTATTTTGTCTAGAGTTCACAGAGTTTTGGTGGAGAAGCCCAACAATAGTGCTTATGGTTGTTGATGCAGACGCCGAGTTGACAGAACCATCATCTGCTGTTGCTGCTGCTGTAGTTTTAATTGATCTTCATGCTCTTGCGCTTGATTATGAACTCCGCCTGAATTAACTGTTCTCCGAGGGAAACTTGGCCAAGCTCTCCATGATTTTTATGTAATAGCTGAACTGGCCATTTAAATTATTGCATTTTAGTGGCATCAGGATTTAACACATTCTTTTACATACCAGTTGTATAACAGGCCACAACTTTACTGATTCTGCGGGATGAAGCGACATTTCCACTCTCACGCTACACAAGGACCTATGGAACGATTGAACATTGGGTAAGACCAATGTATCCATGTACTGCCAGGGTGTTTAAGATGGTTTAGTAGTTGCTTTCCATGACTTGGTTGTTTATAGCCTTTTCTTGTTGTTCAGGTTTTCGAGTACGCCGGAGGGTGCGTTGATTCAAGTTGCTATAGGTACAGCGTTTTCTAACTTGACGGGTCCGCTGGGAACATGCTTCAAGAAATAGATGCCGCGACGGCGAGGTGAGAAAGAGGGTGTATCAAATCTGAGTTGCTGTTATAACTTTGCTGTCTGCTGTGTTTTGACTTCCTTCTTATTAACATTGTCTGATATAAACAGGGTCTGCTGCGGTTGCCGTATTGAATCTTCAGCAAACGGTTGATAGTAGGGGTAAAGGAGGCTATATACGATTTGTAGACATTGCATCTCCAATGACAGCTATACGGTGTGGCCAGGCCGGGTTAGGGCGAAGCGTGAGGTTCACAACTTTGGAAAGCAGCACTCTGCTGGTTTTATTCCCAATAACGACAGCCGGAGTCGGGACTTCTCTTATATTATAACTCATGCTGTAACACGGAAAAAAGGCTTGTCCGTCTAAAATTTCATGTTGTCATTGCTTACTTGAACAAAAAAGGTTATTCATGACATTACTATTGAGTTCTGCTTGGTTTTAAATATGTAACAGAGATAAATGGGACTTAGTCCTCCCTTTTCAATGTAAATTAATGTAGTATCACTGTATAAAGAACTGGATGCTCTCATATCTAACATGTATTAGATGAACAGCAATGGATATGGATGAGGTTGCTTTGCCAAATAAACACGTTATCCAAAATATTCATTTTGTCTCGTAGATGCTGCAGCTTCTTGAATTGAGATACTGTATTAGATTGTATCAAATTCAACGTGTATACTCCTAACTTGCATTATGGGTTTGTTTTGATGAAATTAGCATGTGGTATGGTTTCACGGGTTTGGATGTATCCAATCATTCAAAACCACAACAAGTTAGAATTCTGAATTCTTAAAAGGTGCCCTCGCAGATTCAATGATTGAACTTGCAAAAAGAAAAAGAGGAAACTCCACTTAAATAAACAATTCCCAATTTGAATCCTACTAGTTATGAACCAAATTCGGGGAACGGAAGCCTTGAAACTCGAGATAATCCAATGAAACGTGCCAAATAAATTTAAAGCAATACGGGTTGAACTTTGCCACCATCACTCAAATAACACCACTTGATTAGATTGCACGTGCATACCAATGAGCCTGAATCTTGAGTCCATATTATCTTGCACTGGAAGACGACATAAAACCTGTCAAAAATGTCTTAAAAGCCAAAATAATTTTGCACGTATTCGTTAGTCCTGATAAACACGTATAGAACGTAAAAAGATAAAATGAAAGAAAGCGCACAGGGAGATGGAATCTTAAGGGCAAAAATTAGGGTGCAACACTCAGTTATTAACAATTTACATGTCAATCACTTCTCTTTTTACGAAGTTCCAGTCAAAGTGATAAAGGAGGTAATAAGAATCCAAAAGAACTTTCTTTGGTATGGACCTGCACATCATTAATAGAGGTGTTCATGAAAATTATGTTAATGAAGAATTAGTGGAGTTGAATCAATTACTGAATGAAATCAATCCTTCTTGCAATGTCTCTGATCATGTGGTATGGATTAGTGCAGGGGATAGCTCTCTTTCTATCAAAGATTTCTATGCAAAAATTATGCAGAGTGGTGATGCAGAGCTGGTCAATGAGTCTTTAAGAAAAGCTTTGAAGTTCATTTGGGAAACTAAAGTCCCGAGAAAAATAAAAACTTTCTGTTGACGGCTTCTTCAAAACAAATTACCATAATACTACTTTGATTAGAGTATCCTTAATACTCCTTTGATCAATACATATTTTGCATATTAAAAAATAAATTATCTAGTTAAGGATATAGTATATTATATAAATGTCAAGAATTCACATGATTAAGTGTTTTGTATAATGTTATAAATATATTTGTGTTTAGTGAAAAGAAATTATGTGCTATAAAATATGTATGTTGTGCCATAGTAAATTGTATAAATGTGTTATGAATTGCGTAAACCTACTACGAATATAGGAACGTGTGAATTGTGAAAAATATGTTATGATTATGTGAACAATAAATGTGAGTTCACTGGTGTGTTATAAGTGAACTAAAAAAATTTGTTAAATCCAAACTTCCTATTGGCAATAGCCCTTAAAAGTAAGAGATAATTCTAGAATCGAAGGTTCAAGTGTGAATGTTTCATCATCGTATAGGAGGACGTGACGAGTCTAAATGTGGAGAAAAATATTTTTATAAGTCCGATTGATGGAAATCTAATATGGTATAAGAGTCTATTTAAAATCGGTTAGACTTATTATAAAACTATTGTGTTCGCATTTAGTTATGAGCATGTAAAAAGTCTATTAAAAGTTGCATATATAATGAGATACAACTCAAAAATATATTTATAAGGGGGAGGTGTCTGTCTCAATACAAAGCGGCTTTTCTGTCTTTTCTGTCTTTTCTCCTACGCCACCTTAGAAGAAACTTTAAGCGTCTTGCAGTGTTATTAACCGAGCTAGATTTGTGGTTATATGGAGAATTGGCACCATCAGAGTTGTTACTTAGTTCACTTGAGCAGGAATATGATTCAGGACTTGTTTGAACATAATTAGCATCAGATGCATTCTCAATGTCAGTGTACAAGAATATCTCTGCATCTGGTATTCTAAACAACGTCCTGGGACTGGCTCCATTTACACTGATTTGAATCTTCTGCAGTGGCTGCACAGTACTACAACTTGATTCAGAATTGTTTGAAATAAGTTTGCGATTCATCCCTCCCGCAGAAATCAACCTTTTTATTAAAAAATCAGAAGACGTCGATTGTGACCTTTGCTTCAAAAGATCTACAGGGGTCAGCCCGTCGACATCACAAATGTTCAAATCGATTAACGGCAAAGACATCAACAATTCCACTACCTCAACTTGGATGTTATCAATCACGGATACATGAAGAGCAGTTCTTCCATCATTGTTCTTTAAATTGACGATGTCTCGTATCTTTACAATCTTCTCACTAACTAATTTCTGCACGAGTTCGAAATGCTTGTCTAGTCTACAGAAACCAGGACTTTTGAAACCAGCCACTGCCAAATGAAGTAAAGTATCTCCATGATGGTTAACTAACAGTGCTAGCGAGGGAGATGCATCTATTAGATCTCCACCACGGGTAAGTAGCCCCTGTAACAAGCTACATGTAATGCCGTGTTCCCATGATCATCGGTTAAGTCGATGATATCAAAAGATTCAAGTAGCTTTCTCACCACCTGCATCATTACCACAATACATGTCAAAAAAATAAAGTACAATGCAATTTAAATAAAGAAAAGAAGGTTAAGGAGTTAGAGCGCCTATTAATTGTCTGCAAAGTTTCCAACAATAAGAAGAAGGTTTATCACCACACATGCATCTCAAATAAGTAAGTGGGAAAATTTTCCATAAAATTCAAGCTTATGGAATCCCATATACAATTAGGGATGGGAAGTGACTGTAACAACCCTTGAGAAGCAGCAAGATCAGGTTTACATTGCTGACAAACATCACAAGTCCTAACATAATAGGATGTATTTGTTCATCCCCTTCCAAAAGAAAAGTGACTTTATTCTTGCAGCAATGACATCTCTTTCGCAGTGACCACCAGATGGTGAATTATGAAGCCATCTTAGAATAAATTTCTCAAAAATAAGATATGCCCCAATTAATAAATTTCCTTTCCTTTTGAACTCATCTTTACATTCTTGATTTAATGAATGAAAATATGAGTCTTGAGACAAGAAAGCCTTAATTTTTTCTAATAAATCCTCTTGTATTACTCAACAAGAGAGTCAATAACTCTGATCCTAACTTCTTTGAGTGGCAGAAGATAGTTGAGGACTTGTATCACTCAGTCTGTTATGAACTAAAGCAACAGCTTTAAGCCCTCAAGGCAGTCATCAATTTGTCACAATAAATACAAAACAAACCTTAG